TCCCACGGGTCCTCTGGCTGGTACACACGAAGCCGTTCTCTCGCCTCCCACGGGTCCTCTGGCCACGGGTCCTCTGGCTGGTGCACAAGAAGCCGTTCTCTCACCTCCCACGGGTCCTCTGGCTGGTAGACACCTGTTCCGAGTGATTTCCTTCGCCACAGCTTTCCACAATCTAATTCGAGACCAAAAATCGCCCGAAAGAGGTCCTCCGCGTACGCCCCCAGAATGTCTAACGCTTTCGGAACCCGTAAAATAAGTCTGTGAAGCAGCGTCGAGCACGCCCTGTCTTCCGCTTTCGACCCTTCAGCCACGCTGCAAGCCGCCGGCTGTCACGGAAACGCCTCTGGGTGATGTTTTGTCGTTGCGCGGTTGCGCGGTTTTGTTTTTTTTCCTGGGGATTGGATTGATTGAACTAACAGGACATTTAATTTATACCCTGGCAAGTGCCTGGTTGCGCAGCTTAGTGTTTATTAATGACTCAGACTGGCCGGCTGAACTCAACTTTGTCACGCCACAGCATGGTCTGACCGTTGTGTTGTTGCATGGTTGCACTGTTGTGCTCTGTCAGGGTTTGTTGCCACTGATGTTGTAGCTTTATTACGTTGCCTGGTTGCTCTGTGGTTGGTTCAGACTGGCCAGCTCAGCAGAAGCAGTTTGCTGCTTTGACTCTGAGTTTTTCAAGTTAATAGTTTGTGGCTTCTGTGGCGATTCAGAGAAGGGTTCGTCTTATTATACAATAAATTGAGGCAGGCCCTCCAGCAGGGGCTTCAACCGCCGGCAGGCTAAAAAAATTAAGTCTTACTAATGAAGCCGACGACAGAACCGTGCTTTTTCTATGCCGAGGTCGCGCTGCAGCAGTCAAATTACAAATTAGTCGGAAGCTTTCTGTCCGCCGATGAGCCTGTCCATAGACCTGCAAAAATTATTGAGGGCATTCACATTGTCGGCAATGCATGCCTGCACTGAGGGATCTGTTCCCATCATTAATTCATGCAATGCAGCGCTGGCTTCTCTCACCTGTTCCATAGCGTCTTGCACCTGCGCAATTGCGACCTGCTTTACAGCAGCATCTGCCCCACTCACCAACTCCCACTCTTGTTGAGCCGTAGGCTCGTCAGGGGCGGTCTGAGTGTCGCCAGCCTCAGCCAGGCGGCATTGTTCTAGCCAATGGTCGCGCAAGGCAGCCATTAAAGACCCGCGGGTTCGTCGACTCTCGGACTCGGCGCCATCAATGCCATGTTCTTTCAGACGAACTTCGAGGCTGGCTTTGGTCATGTTGGACATGCCCTTCGTCGGATCTGAAGGGCTTTGGCGCCCCCTGATCAAGGAGCAGAAATGGTGGCGAAGTTCTATTTTGTTCAATCCGCCCACATCAGCTGCCCCATGCGCCTGCAAACTTGTCAAGAGGCCTTCTTTGGTGGATGGGATTGCAGGAGCTGCTCCACGGTCCCACGACACCGGCGGTCCGTGTTTCCAACACAAGTCGCACTTCATCGCCCCGCCCTCAACTTAACTGTTAATAATAAAACCTGGGGCCAAAATGCCTCCAAGCCATGTCACAATTCAGCGCTGCTTGATTTGTAGTAACTGATTCCTGAGGGCATTCACAACACTTTTCTACGCCGAGCGAATCTCAGAAGACGTATTGGAGCGCAACTGCCCATCTGTGAGGGTTTCCCGTTCATTATTATTTGAGCTAGACATTTTATTTCCTCTGATGGCGCAGTGGACGACCCAAACAAAATAAATCAGTTCGCCTCAAACCCCACAGCTGCAATGTGAACGCTCAGTGCTGCCTATAGCCCAACTGTTCGGAGCAGTGACTGCCAGTGCAAAAATTTGGCCACTTCAAAATTTGCCCTCATTGGGACGGAAAGCTATTTTCACCAGGGGAGCTCTTCTTCTTCTTCATCGCCGTTGCCGGCGCCCCCATCCTCGCCGCCCGCTGCGGCATCTTCTGCCTTCTGATTCTTTGTTTTTCCCTTTGACTTGGGTTCAGCAGAGGCATTGGTCGGCTCGGGCTTCGGCTTTTTAGGCTTGGTGTCCCCGCCCTCTGTGTTGGGGCGTTTGTTCTTCGCTTTGCCCTTGGGCGCTGGCTGCGACTGTCCAGCCTCAGCTGGCTCTTGGCAGGCTTCTGGTCTGTAATGGGTGGAACCCTCCTTTTTCATCTCAGACACGATGAAATCTGTCAGGTCAACCTCAAGCTTTTTGCTGTGAGCCTCGCTGTGGGTCAATGCGAAGTAAGGGACCCGCTCCAAAAGAGCGGCTCTGGCTGCCGCCCCCTGGCCGGCACTCAAATCCAGCCTCACTGCTTCACGGCGCGAAGAATAATAGCAGGAGATTAGTTAAATTCTTACAATTTCAAAAAGTATCATCAACAAAAACTGACAACATGCCAATGCAAGATTAGTGACACAGCCTTTGCGGAATGCCCTTTGAAGAGGTCACGATAAAAATTGTCTGAAAAGATTGCCGCGCTGAAAACAGATTCCAGCATTGCCCCTCCGTCGCCTTGCCCGGGTTTCTTCTCTTTCGCCTCGGCTGTGACATCCACAAGTCGATCCTTTCCCAGGATCTCCTCTTTCTCGGTCCTGGTTGACAAAGGATGAGTTAATTATGTCTATATATTATCACACCAGTCAGAGTCATGGAATCGACAGTCCTGGTCGTGTGCCACAGCTCGCTGGCTGACAGCGCTTCCACCTCTGAGATGACATCAGACCAGCAGCTTCCAGGGTGAAAATTGTAAGTCTTCTCAGGGACGGAGTGGGACAGGATGGATGAGCTGGCTGTGAGAAGCAAAGAATGAGCCGTGTAGCTTCCTTTGACCCGCTTTTTCCGGGCGCGCAAGCTGTCATCCTTGAACACAATGACAGATTCCTTCAGTTCGGAGTCTGTTCTCTGCTGCTTGCCGCTTCCGAGAGTCGGGCTGAACAGCGCCTTGAGCTCTTTTTTGCTGCCTCGGCCAACACCGACGTGAAGGATCATCACGTCCCCTTCAACGACAGCGGAGGCTTCACCTGCATCGTTGACCTTTTGAGACCCTCGCCCTACCATGGCGCCGTGCACAAGCTTGGACAACAGTCCCGGAGTCGGTTGGAATTGCCGCCTCAGCCCTGCCTGGCATGCCGGTCCCAAGGTTTCACCTAGTAGGTCCAAGTCCAGCAAGCAAAGCACGCAGCTTTCCCCAGAGTTGCCTCGGACCGACTTCAAGTTCGATTGACTGACCGCGCTTGCCACAGCCGCCAGGGTTTTGGGCTCTGGGCACAGTGTAATGTACGTGCGGACGGTGGCATTCCCCACCGCGCGCCAGTACGGCGCCGAATGCAATGTGAACGAGTTCGGGGACTTGCGGATGACCACAGTCTCTTCTTCCTCCTCGTCGGCCGAACCCTCACCCGCCACAGCTGTCAGAGCTTGCTTTTCAGCCAGTTCGTTGGCAATTTGTGCTCCTATTTTCTCCCATTTGACTTTGATATTGTCATGCTCCATGACCGCCTCAACTGCGCCCTGTTTGGCCGCTTGCTTCAGCGTGTGGTCATGCTGTCTTGTATACACAAGCTCCTGCCAGGGCCAGATTAATATTTATTATATTACAAAAATATTATAAAATTTCAATATATCCACTCCAGCGTCCTCGATCAGCTCGAAGGTCAGGATGCCGGACTTAAGCAGGGACGCTTGCCAACTGCAGTCGCCTGTCCCAGCACTATGCGCCCGGTAGGCTGAATGGGAGCTGAGGGCTGTCTTCAGCTGCTTCCTATCTTCGTCGCGGAGACCGGCTTTTGGCAAGAAATCATCGAAAAAAGCGCCCATCACCTGCGAGCTTCTGTGTTGAGTTGAAGTCAGTGGCTGGACAATTCAATGTCAAATTATTACACAAATTTCACTGAAAGAGCCTTCAACTTGGTCTCGTAGAGGGGTATGAGGCCCGTGTGATGTTTATCGCCAACCAGCGTTGCTTTCGTCACGTCTGAACACTTCAGCAACCCGTGCGCTATCCAATCACAAATTGTGGCTAAGGACCACTGCCTGCTGCTGGCGCTCGTCGCCTTCATGGCCAGACAGTTCAGAACAGTCATCCGGTGAAAAGGTGATTTTGTGCCGTAGCCTGCTTCCAATTCCAGCAGCATCTCCATGCAGGCTGGGTCTGCCACAACCCATTTCTGGCAATTCAGCGCAGCTGTGATGAAGTTGGCGCTCAGGCAACCATTGCCTGAGTCTTCGTCGTCCTGTCCAGGGCCTTTATTGCCTGCCACGATGGGCTGCAGTCCCAAGCGAAGCAGTTCCGTTGAAAGAGCGGAAGCCGTCAGTTTTTTTCCGCACTGAGCCTCGGCAATGTTTTTCATTGCAGCGATCTCCATGCTGTATTGTACCGCCGTGCGGCTGAGCGATTCGTGTTCCTGCTGGAGGGCCTGCCGGCGGTTGAAGCTCTTCCACCAAATGTCAGACTGAGCCACCACTGTGAAGCTGCACGGGATGCTGAGGAGAATGCATCTCCATTTCTCACATTTGGCTTTCCACTTGTCCTCATCGTCAAGTGGGCGAGACCTGGCAATTGAGTTTAACTATTTCAAAGATAGACGCTAAAGTCAGTTAAAGTGATTCATTCAGTCACTCATTGGCGAGTTTGTATATAATAAGTGCCAAGCTTGATGGCCCGAGCACACCCTGCCAGAACCGAGTGCGCAATCTCCTCGGGAGAAATCATGAGTAGCCCGGAAGGCGAGTCTGTGGCCAATTCCCCCTCAGAAATGCCGCATTCAATGTTTCTGTCAGTTATAAATTTTGGCTCCCCGCAGGGGCCGTAGTGGAATTCGCAAAGCTCCACCACGCGCCGCCGAGACAGCGGAATGGATGGTGTTGCTGAAGTCAGCAAGTTGAGCATCCACACACTGATCGAGCAACGGTACACAGAATGTGCCTGTAGGGACTGGGCAGCTTTCGCCTTGCTGAACGCATCTTGCACTCCTGTGTCTTGGCCGGTTACGTCATTGCCAAGTGACAATGGCTTGGCCTGCTGAAAGTCTTTGCCATACTCTGCTAATATGACTTCGCAGTCGGCTTGCACATCTGTGTAGTAACTTTTGTTGGTCGCATCATCAGACGACACTGTCTGAACAAATTCTGGGGCCCCTGCTTTTTTCTGGCCAGCTTTTCCCTTGGCCAACTTAGCTGCCATGTCCTGCTGCTTGGCTCGGTCAGCAACAGCCTGGGCAGCAGCTTTCCTGTCACGAGAAGCCTCGGCTTTTTTCAACTGGATCTCACGGGTAACAGTCTTCTCATCTTCGCCAGCCCGGGTGCGCCTGGCGACTTCATCTTTTTCAGCCTGGTTGAGGCGCCAGGCTGAAACGTTTTTAATGGGCTCAGCCATGTTCACCAGGGGTGCCAGTGCCAGCCACCTGACGACGAATCGTCGTTGCCCAATGAGCCCGCAAGTCTACATGCAATTTGAGCCATGTAACAACAGCGGCAATCGGCGGAGACCAGAATCAGAATCAGAACCCGACGATTAAAAAATTGATCGACGACAACGACGAGATTGAAGCGACGACGACAACGACGACGAATTGAATGACGAAAGCCAATTTTTTAGCCGCCATTGCAAAGTCCGGCGGGTCAGTACTTCAAACTGGGCCTGCAGTGTTCCACAGACTGACAGGCCAATTTCCGGCTGAGCGGCCGCTGGTCGTGACTCGTCGTGCGGTCAGGTCACGGGTCGTCGCTCAGGCCCCTCAGAAACAACGCTTGGCTTTCGTAAAAGCGAGCTACCGCAGCGAGTTTGAGGTCGCTGGATGCCGGGGCTGCAGCTGACGCTTTCGGCGGCGGCGGCGTCTTGGCCCTGGCTGGGGCCTTGGGCTTTGCGCCCTTCTTCGCCGCTGGCACTGTGGCCACTGGGTCCTGCTGCTCGGCGTCATCCCCCGAGCTGTCGCTGCTGTCACTGCTGTAGTAACTGCCTGACTCGGCGGCGTTGTTGGCCGAAGCCTTGACCGCTGATGCTGCCGCAGGCTTGGAGGGCGGCGGCTTGCGGTCAGGCTTGCGGTCCTTCACCTTGGCATTGGGCTTCCCCTCCGCCTCACGGCCGTAGTTGTCAGGCGACTTGACATGGACGGCATTGTAATCCCTGTCGCGCCGATCGTCGGTCGGACGATGACGACGAGCAGCGCCGGGGTCATTGCGGCCAGACGACTGGCGAGTCTGTCCTTCATTGCCGCCGTGACGGCGATCGCCGTCATCACCGCCGTCGTGAAGAGCAGCGCGACGATGCTGCTTGGCAGGCGGCGACGAGCGGGATGCCACCCTCACCCGGCCCTTGGCCGGCGGCGGGGACACGGAAATCGACGGTGACAGTGGCGGGCCACCACCTTTGTCCGCCGATTCCCGGTCGCGCCTCGGAGTCCTGGACTTGGACTTCACCCTGACTGGGCCCATTTCCGGTGACTTTGGGCGGCGACGATTGTCAGGTGTGTGGTCGTCGCGGTGGATCCAGTTATTCCAGGAGGCCGCCTGCTTTTTCCACTCGGACTGAGCTTTTTTGCAGGCTGCCTCCCAGCTCCACCCTTTGTTCCAGAACTTGTACCTCAAACAGTGTTTCGAGGACCTCTGGTGTTGCTTGACTCCGAAGTTCCCATTTTTCCACTGGCCGCAGATCTCACACTCGGTGTCCGCGACCGACACCTCTGACGGTGGTGGCTCCCGGCTCCCATCCTTCTCAGAGCCGTCGGGCAGGGGCTCCACGTGCCTCAGTGACATTGAGACTGAATCGACGACTCTGTCACCATTATTATTTAATAAAAAAAATAGAATCTAAGTCTAACGACGACGAGAAAATTTGAATAAATCAATGCCAGCTGACTCCTGCCTGGAACGCCGTGACACCCGCGCCTGGTTGTCGTCGTCCCTGTGTCCCCGCCGGGCCGTGGCAAGCTCGGTCTCGTCGTCACGACGACGGCGACGGTCTTTGAGGCCCCGTCGCTTGACTTCATCGGAGTCTTGCTTGACTTCATCGGAGTCGTGCGCGCGGTGGTGAGCCTCGTCGGCTTTCTCACGGGCACGGCGTGTGTCGCTGGCCGTGTCAGAATCCTGGCGCGGCGACGGTGAAGCTGCAGCTTGCGCCCGGCGTTCGTCGTCTTTGCCATGACTGGCATGATGACTCGCCGCAGCCGATTCTGCCGCCGGAGCAGCGCCAGGGCCAGGCGAATCGCCACGAGGAGGACCGGGAGAACGGCCACGTCGCTTGGGCTTAGCAGCTGCTGCCGAAGTCACCATGACCTGAGCACGGGGCGGGGAAAAGTAATCTCAATTAAGACGACGGTAAATTCAATCCTGAATGTCACGACTGACAGAACTTAAGGCCCGTGGGCCTGCACCTGCAGGTGCTGAACCCGAAGGTTCCCATTAGGCCCGCAAGCCTGCACCCGCAGGCGCTGAACCCGAAGGTTCCCAAGGCCCGCAAGCCTGCACCCACAGGTGCTGAACCCGAACTCGGTAACAAGTAAGTAGTAGTATTCCAGACAGTTAGTAGATGAATGTGTAGTAAGACTAGCACAGCATTAAGTTAGATTAAATTGAAAGCCAAGGCACCGAGAAAGCGCGCCACCACCAGGGCGCCCGCATTCACCCTCGCCGCTGGAGCCCGAACACTGCACGCGTGACAGACAATGAACATCAGAGTTAAAAAACTTGTTGTTACATAGCAATGTCTGACATGAACACTTGAAACTTGGCATAACATCTTTTTACTTTAATAAGTTAAAAAGATGTTATGTCATGTTTAAGACACACCCTTTGCAACCACAAAACGTCGCAACCGCAAAACGTCGCCGGGCTTATGCGATGCCAGCCCGGTCTGGGATTTGGTCCCCGTAGTACTGAGTGCAGAAGGGGAGTGGGACTTTCCCACTCCCCTTCTGCGGGTCCAGCCTAGTCTGGCACCGCAGAAGGGGAGTGGGTCGTGCTCTAAGAGGGGCGGCGACGTGAGAAGGACAGTATGCTTACAGCGGCGCCTACTATCCTTCTGCGGGTCCAGCCTAGGCTGGCGCTGCAGAAGGGGAGTGGGAAATTCCTACTGTCCTTACCCGGTCCACGTTGTCAAACGTGGGCATTCCACTCCCCTTACCCGGACCCCGGCAAAGTGAGCTCAGCAGCTTGTTGAATCAAAGTTAAATCAAATGCACATGACAATGACTTTAAATCTTCTATTTTAAAGCTGCCGAGCTTTCCTGAAGCTATTGGAAAATAAATTGTTGCTCAAATTTCTACAGCTGTCGGCAGGGCATCTGATCCAGTAGTCCTTGCCCCTACCCAGGGCACTCAACCCTGTCGCGTCCAATCCGGCGCGAAGAACAAGCATCAAAACGTTGATGCTCATGGCATCTCCAATGGACGCTTCCACCGTACCTGCAGGTAAGGATTCCTCCCGACAACATGCAAGCATCGCTTGCGTAACAGCATCTGGCAAGCCCTGTAAACGGGCGCACTCGAAAGTGTTCAAGCGTCGTCTGAGCTTAGGAATGTAATAGCCAAACTCTCGGCAACGAGTGAAGGTGAGGCAGGGGCAGCAGTTCTTCATCAGATGTTGGAAAGCATCTGAAGACTTGATGTCCACCACGTAGCCCTTCTTCCACAAATTCGGGCCGGCTTGCCTCTCATAGTGGGGCAAGGAAAGGATTTCGGTTCCCGACTTCTCCTTGTCTAAGAAGGTGTGCAAATCAGGGTGCTGCTTTCTCTCCACAGGCATCTGCAACTGTTCCTGCAAACAGCATTCTGCGGCAACAGCCAACACATACACCCGTGGGCGTGACTGCGGCACTCCAAATTGCCTTGTGTTCAAGGTTTTGTAGACATACTTGTAGTCCAAAAGCCTCAAGGTTTTCTGTATGAACTCCCACACCCTCTTGTGCTTGCGATGCAAAAGGGAAGAGACTTGCTCTAAGACCACCATGAGCGGGCGAGTTTTGGCTATGAATGCAAGTCCATGGATGGTGATCATCCCTCTGCTGTCTTGGGTGCCCTTCTGTTTTCCCAGCCTGGAAAATGATGGGCAGGGGTATCCGGCCACATAAAGTTCCACAGACGGTGCTGTCGAGTTATCTCGCAAAGACATGTCAGAGACATGTTCGAGCTGGGCTGCATCGAAGCCACATACTTCTTCAACTGCTTGGTGCAGATGCACCTTTGCAGGGTTGCACTCAGACATCATGACGCATTGAACCCTGGCGCGTAATCCTAGCAGCCGCAAAGCAATCAGGTCGGAGCCATATCCGGCGCAGTCAGATATCAACCTGATTGGTTGTAGCGACGAAGGCTTTGGCCATGGTTTCAAGCGCTGCCTCCAATTAGTGGTGAGGGCGTTGATGCTGGCAATCAATTTGTCTCTGTCTTGCGCAGAAACGCTTCTAGCCTTGGGCTTCGCAAAGGATTTCAAGACTTTGAGCCGCGGCATGGCTGCAGTCCTGGCACAGCGAATCTGAAAAAACAAGGTCTTCAAGTTGTCACATTACACAGTTTAGGCAAACATTATTTTCAAGCCCAGTTCCGTCTCTCCCAGGAGCCGGGTTCAGACACCCCGTTGCCTACGGATTGGATCCTTTGATCCAGGCGCTGGCTTGATGGTCAATGTACAGTTTGGCCACCCATGTCGTAAAAGCGCCCCCTGTCATCAGCCTGCACTTCTTACTTGCGCCTTGCACTTGGACTGTTTCATCCTTGCCGTGAAGGATGATTGGCACGGTTCTTTTGCCTCTTTTGTTCTTGGCAGCGTCTTCCAATGAAACCGCCTGCCAACCACTGTCACCCTGGGCGCTTCCACGCGCACATGCCTCGCGAACCAACAATGTCAAACCCGGTTGCTCTTTCTTAAAATTGTTGGTCGCGTACACTGAGACACCGAATTTGAAGCCAGGTTTGTGGCTGAGTTTCAGCCCGCCCTGCCCATCCAGGATTGGACCACTCAATACAACTGCCCCCATCAGGGCAGAGAAAGCGCGGTACTTCTGAGCAAAGTGATCGATGTCCTTGATTACAATCATCTGTGCCTGCTTCAAGTCCTGCAGGGAACAATAATTAATATTAAATAGTATTTAGCAGTTAAAGTTAAAAGTTAGATGAATCAAGATTCAAATGTCCTGCGTCACGTTGGTGATTCCACGGTCAGCCAGCTTCTTGGTCCATTTGGCAACCTCTGTAGGACTGGCGCCGGCAAAATAGACTGGAGACTGCAGGGATTTCATTGCCCAAGCAATGGACTGTTTCTGTGTCTTCAATTTGGTGGCCGTGGTCACCTCCTGAAACTTCTTTCTCCGCGCCGCATCGTTTGCTGCATCCGTTTTCAATTTGGCAGCTGCTGCCGAGAGAACCTTGCCGTCTGCTTCGGTTGGCAGCAACAAACCATCAAGGTAGGCCTCGGCCTTTCGTTTAACAGCCTGAGACTCTTGCTTGGCAAGTTCTTTCTGCAATGGCTCTGGCATGTTCACTGATGCTGCTGCTGACCAGTGTGCGTTTGCACTTGGGTTGCTGCGGAGGTCATTGGCTGCCGACAGCACTGCGCTTCTGCGATCTCGAACCCATTGCTTCTCAGACGGGCGGGGTTGCTTCCTGGCGCATTTGTCCACTCGGGGTTGTTTATTAGGTGCCCGCGCCCGGCCGGAAACCAAAAGGTCTGCGTACAGCGCCCGGGCACGACGCACAATCTCCTCTGCGTCAGAATCTTTGACAGTTCCGATGACAGTCGCCAGGCGGCGATCGGTATCACATTTCGCGTTTCCTTGCTCAGTCGGGCTGTTCTGAAGTTTTGAAAAGAGTTGCTCTACTCCGGAGCTTGAGTTCGTCCAGGCTAAATAAGCGCAAATGACCTGCGGCAGCCCCAGCGGCAAACAGCGGCATGTTCAAGTCTTAAGTGCAATGGTTGCAGAAAAAAAAAGAATTTTTATTATCTCGCCTTCCGCAGCTCAGCACAGGGATACTTGTCTCGCATCAACTTGCGTCCTTGAGATCGAATCAAAGCTTCTGACCAAGCTGCGCGGTTGTCCAGACCAGCTTGCTTTTGAATCGCGCTGGCCATGGGTAAGAAGGCAATAAATTGTCGTGTCAATTTTCCTAAGTCCACTTGGAACACTTGGGCAAGTTTAGCCAGGCTGGTCTTGGCTTCCGGTCGGTCTTGCGCAGACTCACCTGCGCCCTGCAGACAAAACGCATCAAAGCTGGCGATGACATCCCAGCTTGGGAATTCAGTGGCCACAGCGGCCTCTGATACGACAGCCCATTCCTCAGTTGACGACGATTTAAAATATTTAAAAGAATATTATGTGGTAACCGTATGACGACGACAATCAATTTTTATAATCTCTGGTGAGGCTCTTGCAAGATTTTCATGCCCTCTGCAATATCTGTCTGAGAGA